CTGCAAATGTTAGCAAAGAGGAGAGCAGTCTGGTGGAAATCCGTCAAAAGATCTTCCATCATCTGAAAGGGACTCCTTTGAATGTCATTCTACTGAACAACTCCAAGTTTTATCACATTGGAACCACATCTGAATACCTCTTTCACCTCACAGAGGATGTGGCGCTGAGGAGGGAGCTGGGTCTGCTAACGTCTGCTTTCAGCGTACACCTGAATCAGAACTCTGAGAGCTGCTCAGGAGGCTGCGTCATGTACAGCTTGCTCGACAACGGCTGTTCTGTGGGAGCTGGGTCAGTGGTGGAGTACTCCAGACTAGGTGCAGAAGTTTCTGTAGGTAAGGGCTCTATTGTCAGCAGCTGCCGGGTCAGTCCAGGCCTCTCAGTACCTGCTGGAGTCTTCATGCACTCACTGTGTGTTAATTATAAGAATCAAAGTAAATTTGTGACTGTCTTCTTTGGGATAAATGATGACTTGAAGCACAGCGTGGGAGCTCCTGCATACATGGAGGAGCTGAAACTTTGTGGTTTCAGCCTGATGAAGTGTTTGTCTCGCTGGGGGCTGAAGAGTGAAGCCCTCAGGTTCTCTGGGGATCCATCCAGCTGTAGTCTGTGGAACGCTTGTTTGTTTCCTGTTTGCTCAGATCAACAAAGATCATTCTTGATGTCTGTGGAGATGCTACAAGCTGTCCTGAGCAGCTCCAAGTTCAACTTACCCAGAGACACAAAGCTCATGTCCATGCAAGAGTCTTTACTGTGTAAGAACCTTCAAGAGATGCTGGAGCTCAGGAAGGGACTTAATGATGACATCACACAGAGAAAATCAAATGATTGATGTTAGTATTCTTAATATGGATTATGGGAGAGTTTTTGTTGTTGTTTGTTTAAAAGACCTCATTAATAAGGCTGTAAATCACTGATATATTATATATATTGTATGTTCATTCAGTGATCACATGGTTTCCTTTGTTTGGTCTGAAAAGCCAGTATGATTACATTCAGAGACAATAAAGATAGCTATATAAGCAATCACAGAATCTTGCTACAAATTCAGAGCCACAAATCAAAGAATGAGAAAAGAATGAAAGAGAGAGAGAAATATTCAACATGCATAACATTGTTCAGTTCTTATAACATTACAAAGTCTGATACAGACACCAACATTAGAGAGTCAAAATTGAGCTTTAACTCACATTTGAATGTCTATATGCTGTTCTTCATGTTTTACACAATAGCCATGTTTGCAACATGTCCCTCCTGAATCCAAAGCAGATGCAAATGGATTTATCTTCACCACTAAATTGGCATTCATTTCACTGAGAGCAGCTGATCGTAAGCCTGCAGGTTTTATTTCACTGCGTCGTAATGGTGTAAAAACAATGGCTAAAATTTAAACATGCTGAGTGAGAAAGTATTGATTGTGTGCAGGAAATAGTTGTTCTGATTTATTTATGTTTATATATATATTATTTTTATATTTCATATTTCATATTTTCAAATGTTGAAATTGTAAATTTTCATCAAAATCAAACTGTTTTTGTTCCTTTCAGCTGTCACTTTAATTGCAATAATTAGCACGTATGGTTTGGGAACTACTGTATTATCCATATTAGAAAAATAAAATAATCCCAATTGAAATCCTCAACAAAACACTGACCATCTAGTTTGTTTTCACACACACACACACACACACACACACACACAATCTCACAGACTGTGAAAAAGCCTGCTTGCATTATGGAGGGAGATCAGTTGTCCTAGTTGTCAGGCATTCCACACCAATGTGTTTATTTTTAGCCCACAGACATGATCCCCCCCTTTATCTGGATCTGTGCAATTGTGACAGAGTAAGAGATTGTATTACTAAACCAAACTTTACACAGCAGATTTTACACGAAACGGACCTTATCAATGGGAAACTACAAATCAAGACCCTCTCAGACGTGTACAGGTAATGGCTTGTTTGTGACAGTGTGAGATTATATTCATATAAGACGGAGAACAGGGTTTGTATTGAAGGGGGAACGCCTGGCCGGTGTTTCTCTTTTTTTTCTCTGTTTCTGTTTATGTTTCTCTGTTGGCAGCCATTACTCCCTATCACAAACACTGACAAGTTGAACAACTCTTTGTAAAACTGTGAGTTACTGACAGTTATTGAAACTTAAATACAGTGATGTTTACATTCAAAATTACAAAAAAGGATAATGTGCTTATCTCTGCACGGGGCTAATAATAAGAAATGAAAATGATATTAATTTGTCACACTGATGATTTGAAGATGAGTGGAAGAAGAAGGTGGGTGAGTCGTACTCTGTGATCATCGAGAAGTTGGAAGATGACCTCCAGCTTAAAGACAGCGAGCTCGTGGATCTCAAGCTTGCTTTCAGGTGACTCAAACACTTTCTGCATTAAAAAAAAGGAAACAAAGAAAAGTCTGTATGAGTCATAGTTTAATTGAAGATGGATTTGTCACTCTGTCATTCTTCGCCTTGGTCTGATGCTCACTTTTCTGTTGTTGATTTTCCTGTGGCTCAGCTGCGATGAGGCTTTTCAGAAGGTGAACTTGAGCTACCGAACAGAGAAGGGACTGTCGCTGCTGCACCTCTGCTGTGTGTGTGGAGGTATGTGTGACTACTAAAGGATATTAATAACTCCCAGACAAAATGTGACAGTGGAGGAGAGGATTACTGCGAACTGACTGACATTATTGTGTGGAGATGACCTTTCTGCTGGTGATCACATACTAGTAAACGACATAGATATAACTTGTACATTTATAGTAAGCAATTAGTTAATTTATTTGGTCATTTCTCTAGCTTGTTAAATCACTCAAACAAAACACTTAAAACAAATGATATTGCGTTTTTGTGACCAGGTAATAAGGACCATATCCGCACCCTGATGCTCAAAGGCCTTCGTCCCTCCAGACTGTCCAGGAATGGATTCACTGCGCTTCACCTGGCTGCTTATAAAGTATGAAAGAGCAACAAACATAGATTTAAAATATGTCTGTAAGTGCTAGGTTACCTGTATAGTTTTATTTTCCTTGTGATCTTCTGGTTCTAAGAGATGTCTAAGTTTTACCACATGGTGGAGTGCAAGCACACATAAAGAATGTATATAGCTGTTTGTCTGAGCTGGGTTTTTCTTTTCTAATATTAAGGGATGTGGTGAAAGCAGGACAATCATAGCTCACCTGTATGTTTTTTATATTAATCAGTAGTAGATGTTCCAGCTCTGTTTGTTTCTGCTCCACAGGACGATGCTGAGCTGGTGACTGCACTTCTCCACGGAGGGTCAGACGTGCAGCAGTTGGGTTATGGTGCACTCACAGCCCTGCATGTGGCCACCCTGGCCGGGCACCACGAGGTGAGAGCTGGCCTTTTGTTTTGTTTTAAATGTAAGGAAAAGGTTTTAACAGAATTGGAGTTTTCATTGCAGCATCTGCACATTCATAATTTTGCTATGTTTTACATCAGGCTGCAGATATCCTGCTGCAACATGGAGCCTATGTCAGTGTTCAGGATGCTGTGTTTTTCACACCACTGCATATTGCTTCTTATAACGGAAACGAGCAGGTAAAATGGTCAAACTAACAACCTCCGCCTTTTTTTTTTAAATAGAAATTAATTCAACTAATGAATTATGTACTTTGTTCAGAAAGTTGATACCTGATTTTATGCGTTTACTGTTTCTACTTCTCAGTTGACAAAGCTGCTGCTGAAGTTTGGTGCAGATGTGAATGCAGGCGGTGAAGTTGGAGATCGTCCTCTGCACCTGGCTGCAGCCAGAGGTTTCCTCGGCATCATCAAACTTCTGATGGGGGAGGGCAGCAAAGCTAATGGTGAGACCTAAAACTCATATAGTGTTTCTTTTCTTTTATTTACTCTTGATTTAATGTTTTCTAATTTGTATAGCGACATAAACAATACAAATAGACACGGACAAAGACCACATTGTGGGGGCACCTTAGCTTGAAAATAATCCTCATAAATCCAGTCAAAAGTCCATCATTGTCCAAAAGAGTCACCCAAAGATAGTGTCCTCCTCCTCTGCAACATACTGTAGTTGTTCCTTTTCTCCCACTTCTCACAAAGATTTGAGCCTTAAAGTCTCAGAGAGAAGTCATCTTATCTATTACAATAATTTCTTCAACCAACATTTGTTGATGTTTGGAGTCCTAGGCTTGTATAATTTCCTTGCAATTGCTTTTTTACAGTGTTTTACACTGATACCAGTCTCTCATTAAAATGAGGTACCGGACCCTCTACATCATTCAGGATTCCATAACCCAGTACCTTTCTCTGAGCTAAACATCTATGAGGTTACCTAGCTCTAAGCCAACTCTGGTACAATGCATCATATGGCAATATTTATGTTTAATCTTGTACATGGTCCCTTTACAGAATAAAATGTAATAAATAAATATATTCAGCCATGATGTTTACATTGTTTCAATATGTTCAAAAAATACAGGAATGTTTGGCGTCCAAGTGTCCACTCTGTCACAGGAATGGTTCATTGACTGAGATTGCTGATTTTTAATGTGCGTTGTTATAAAAGAAACGTGGTATTTCTTTTCATTTTATATTTTGTGACTAAACATACAAGCATAGGTTATTATTTCCTTTACTCACATATGGTTGTAAGAGAGCTTTAAATCTGCACTGCTCCTCTTGGCTAAGCCAGCATGTTTCCTTCTCAATTACCATATGGGAGATAATTCAGTCTTTCAGTTGAAGATGATTTCATTGAGGATTTGTCAACTCTTCCTTTCAACTTTTTTCTTCAGTCAATGCCACGGACAATGAGGAACATGTTCCTCTGCACTTCTGTGCTCGCTTTGGTCACCATGAGATCGTCCGATTCCTCCTGCAGGGCAACTTTGACATTCAACCTCACTCTGTCAACATCTACGGGACACGCCGCTACACCTGTAAATGCTTCACAGTGTCAGCAGCATGCTGTAAATGTTCGACACATGCCATGAAATGTTATATTTTATTCCAAACAGGGCCTGCTATAATGGAAAATTTGAGGCAGGAAAGGAGATTGTGCAGCTTTCTGGCCCAGAAAGTCTGTCAAAGGAGAACATATTCAGTGAGACAGCATTTCACAGGTGTAGTTTCCCACGCTCCGTCTTTATACACAAATACAGACACATACTTTGGATTGTCACGTTGTTACATTTCTGTGCAGAACCTTTACTCTGTGGTTCATGTTGCTGTGAGATGATAATAACGAGTGTCTATCTTGTTTCACAGTGCTTGTACGTACGGTAAAGACCTGCAGATGGTCAAGTTCTTGTTGAGCCAGAACGCTATAAGCATCAACCATCAGGGCAGAGACGGACACACAGGTCACTCTTTAAACTCCTCTATAGAATAAGTGCAGGAGCAGTTTTTCTTTGAATTATAATAGAGTTTGGCAGCATTCCCGTATTCTGTTTTTTTTTTTTTAGCTCTGCACAGTGCCTGTTTTCACGGACATATCCGCCTGGTGCAGTTCCTGCTGGACAGCGGAGCAGACATGAACCTGGTAGCTTGCGACCCGAGCAGGTCTAGTGGGGAGAAGGACGAGCAGACCTGTCTGATGTGGGCTTATGAAAAAGGTCTGTGTGTATGAAAAAGAGCTCAGCTGTGGGGGAAAGGTGTAATGAAAATCTTATATAACAGTCCTTTATTTTTTCTCTCTCAGGTCACGATGCCATCGTCACCTTACTGAAACACTACAAACGTCCTGACGACTCCCCCTGCAATGAGTACTCCCAGCCAGGAGGGGGTGAGTCACCCCTCTTCATCATCTGGTTTGTGCAAAGCATTAACCAGATGATGATTTTTCTGTGGAAGACCAGATTTGGGAATCCACCTTTTTCTGCTATCCAGGATCAGGTGATGCAGATTTTGCCCTGGTTATAAAAAACAAACAAACTGTTTAGGACCAACCTGTCCAATCCAGTTAAGGACTTTTAAAAAGAAATGTGTTCATTTAATTTGTATTTACTTTATTAACCCTGAGGGATATTGAACTGTTCTCTCTGTTATTGTGAGACATGCTTCACACACCCATAAGCCCAAAAGCACAAGCAGGACTTAATGACGTACATTTATGGAGAGATGTCAGAGGGAGGGGGCTGCACAGGTGCCGCGAGCAGGAGGGGGGTTCAGTCACTTGCTCAAGGGTAATCCGGCAGTGCTCAGGAAGTTAACTAGCATCTCTTCAGAAACCAGTTCCAAGTCCATACTTGCTCTGTACTTAGATTTAGACCAGTGACCCTCTGGTTCCTAATCCAAGACCCTACAGACTAAACTACTGCCCCCATCCTTAAAGATTGCCAAATAATCTGAATAACCTGTGCTCTAAGTGGACTTCATACAACATACCTTTTCCACAGGGGGCGCTAAAATCCAAACAAAATGACATATCCTGAAACTAGATTTTAATGAAATATTTTTGTTCGTCTTTTAATCCTTCTTTTTTTTTACTAGGCTAATGTCTATAATAAAAGTATTATAATGTCTACACACATTTTATTATCTTTTGTACATGAAATTCAGCCTGAATCGACCCCTCTACTTGGATCTGGTTTATCGTGATCATTATGGATCAAAGTTATCCCACTCATACTCAAAAGGTTTGGAACAACACAAACCGGAGGTTTTGCAGGATCAAAAACTGTTTTGGATAAATTGATTTAATCTGTTTTGGTAATCCTTTTTTTTCTTGTTTTTTTTTGAAAGACCTGATTTCAAGATTTTATCCAAATGACTTTAATCAGATTTATTTTTAACAACTTGGCCCTGGACTAGAATCACTCATTAATGTGCCTGAACATGTCGGCTCTCTTCCAGATGGGTCCTACGTATCTGTCCCGTCTCCTCTGGGGAAGATCAAAAGCATGACTAAAGGTAGTGAGGTGGAGTGAAGCACAGCACACTTTCACACACTTGTCATCAAAGTCAGCTGTCATCACAGCACACACACTGTCTATTACCAAGGGAAGGGGCTTAGCTGCTAATGTAAACACTTCTCTGTTTTACTCACTAGATGTGCACCTAAATCTGTAGGTGGTATGAAATCTGTACTTTAAAACCGCAGATCTTTTTAGAAATTGAAGTATTTGACTTCTTTTAGAGAATCTCTCAAAGGAGCTTTCTGCATAGGGGCATATAACCACACCTAACCAGATTTATACTATAGCTTTAGAGAAATTTGGTGCAGCTACATAACTTCCATTACTTTATTTGCACTGAAGGCATTTATAAATTCAAAAAATTAACATTGTTCGCTCATTCTAATGAAAAATTAACCTTTAGCCAATACACATGTAGCAAGTACAAACTGCTCCAAGCATTATTATTATTATTCATGAGAGAGATAAAGTTTCAAAAGGTGTTTCTCTGTATGTCAGAAAAAGCAGAAGTCCTTCTGCTCAGAGCCAGCCTCCCATCTCACTTCCATCTTCAACTGTCTGAGCTGGAGTTTAATGAAATTATTGGATCAGGTAACTGCCTCCTGTTTTCTTTTTCAATCAATGTACTTAACAGATCTGATAGTAGTATTGAGCATTGAATCGGTCTCACACTCAGGCTCCTTTGGAAGAGTCTACAAAGGCAAATGCCGGAACAAAGTCGTCGCCATCAAGCGGTAAGTGTCAAAAGATGACATTTTGTACCACGCTTTTGTTACGGGGAAAACTGACTCGTGAATGTCTGCCGTTGTCTCTAGATATAGAGCCAACACCTACTGCTCAAAGTCAGATGTGGACATGTTCTGCAGAGAGGTCTCCATCCTCTGTCGACTCAATCACCCCTGCATCATCCAGTTTATGGGGGCGTGTTTGGATGACCCCAGCCAGTTTGCCATTGTGACGCAGTATGTTTCTGGAGGCTCGCTGTTCTCTCTGCTGCACGAGCAGAAGAGGTGAGGAAGTATGTTTTACACACTGGAGCTTGTTATATATCATTTCGTCAGTACCAGTGCTCCAACAAGATACTGAACTGTAACAGAGCTCATATTTCTAACAACTTGAAAAACTTACAACCCCAAAAAGATCATCAAGATTTGTGACTTGACTGAATTAATATATGTAAAAATATCAAATATATCAGATTTAGACTGAACTACAGAAGCCCAGTGTGTTGCAGCACAGCAGTCTAAATGAAAGTTGCCCTGACATGATCTGTAAATTTGACCTAGTTCTATTCAGTCAACAATACTCTGGATGATTTAAGTCATTTGTCACGCACAAATGTCAAAAACTATCTGTTTCCTGCTACTTAAATATGAGGAAATTTTTACATGATTAATAAAAGATATCTCAATTAATATCTTTTGAAGACATCACTTATGGATCAAAACTTTAGGGGGATTTAGAAATGTTTTTATTATGATGCAGTCAAATTTACCTCAGCCAACTACAGCCTCAGGACCATGGCGACGAGTCAAAAACTATGACTTTAAAAAAAAGATATATAATTAACCTATTGCGGGGCCCTGTTGTTGTAAAGGTGTAACTTTATAGCTGCTGCTTATTAAGTGAAGAGTGATTAAAACCTATAGTGAAGTAGTTGTAAGTCCCAGGTGGTTGGATTTCTTTCATTTGTAATATAGCAATAAGTCTTTTACCTGCTTTTTGTAACATAAATATGAGTATGCTCTTTTTACCTGCTCTTTTGAAATATTAAAAAACAAAGAGTGAGGTCTTTTACCTGCTTTTTGTAAAGTGTCTCGAGATAACACTTGTTATGAGTTGACGCTTTACAAATAAAGATTGATCGATTGATTTCATTTGATTCTTCACACACGTTAATGCGATTAAGGTCTAATATCTAAAAACAGATCAAACTACCTGAAGAAGTAACTCAGTGATTTATTTTACAACAACATGTTTGCACAGCACAGCCGACTGTTTCAGGTCTCATTATCCTCTGTGGAAGCTTCCCCTCTACCGTGATCGTCATTGATCCAGATGAAGTGTTCCGCTAACTGTGTGGCCAGGTGCTGTCTTTATAGACTTCCCTATTGATCTGTGTAAAGTGCTGTGTGTGATTGGCAGGGACCATTGATCTGGCACTAAGTGGCTGCTGCTTTAATGATGTGTCAATGGACAGGTTGATCGACCTGCAGTCCAAGCTCATCATTGCCATCGATGTGGCCAAGGGCATGGAGTACCTGCACAACCTCACCCAGCCCATAATCCACAGGGACCTCAACAGGTGGGGGCCACGGTGGATGAGGTGGGACAGTATTAGCTATCTTAAATAACTGTTGTCACCACTAATGACACGTATGTTCCCTGCAGCCACAACATCCTGCTGTATGAGGATGGACATGCAGTGGTGGCTGATTTTGGAGGTAAGAAACGTTATACAGTGTTTATTTGCTGTGGAAAAAGATCTCCATTTATCATTTTCTACAGTAAAATAGAATGAAATGTCTCCTGGTGATGTTACAGACGTACATGCTAGTTGACCAGCTGCTCTTTGGATCTACGATTGAAATAATCCCTGATATAATGACTGCTAGGGATTAAAGATCACTTAAACCATTCACCCTCTGAAAATAAATAGCTTTTAATTTAGTCAGATCATTTGTTAACCATTATGTTGATCATTTGTGATAAAAAAAAAAAAAACCCTGTCACTCACTTAAAGCCAAATGCAGTTTTACTGCCCTGTACTTGTTGGGATGTGACCGGCACTTTTTTGTTGCTAGTTTCAGTGAAGTGACCTGAGGGCTTTTATGATTATTCTTAAACTCTGTTTTCAATGTCCTTCATTTCTCACCTGTGACCACATGGCAATGATCATTAAGCTTGTTTTAGATAAGATAATATATACCTGTACTTTATTGTCCCCAAAGGGGACATCTTTCATTCTGATCAAACGTCTCTGTAGCTTAAAACAACAACATTAAGATCATCAAAAAAAAAAAGGAAGCCCAAGAGAGAAATGTGTTTCTTCTGCATCATTTGTTTGATTTTGGAAGAAATATGATTCTCTCCTACTAAAAACGGTCCAATACCTTTTTTTCTTCTTTTTTCCCTGCCTGAACATTGAGATATTTAAACTTGAGCACCGGAAATTATGAGCACCCCTCTGATACCAGATAGCATAGAAGAACAAAAATTGCACATGATCATGCACATTAAAAAGCACTGATTATGAACTTTTAACTAACTTACACTCCCTGCAAACACCAAACTGTTGTTTGTTTTTATGAAATGATAATTTACCTGAAGATAGTTAAAAAAAAAGGTGTACTGGCTGATACCTGAAGGTAGTATCAGAGGCTAATACTGAGACTGGTCTCCTTATGGCCCAACTGTACTGTTACCATGCAGTTTAATGTTAATCGGGTCAACTACTTGTCACATCTTAAAGGAACTATTGTGACATAGTATAACATTTAAATACAACAGTATTTTATTTACATGTCATGTATCTACTATCACCCATTGCTTCAGTCAGGGGAAAAATTGAGTCTGGCAGCCATATTTCTGTTTGTTTACTTCTATTAGTATCTTGTAATCCTGCCAATTGAACATTTTATTCAGTGGCTCTGCTCTGTATGATCTAATCCACATGAAAATGAGCTGCCTGTTGATCACCATTATGTTTGACTGTTCTATTTCCTTTCTAACCTCCACAGAATCTAGATTCCTTCAATCTTTGGGCGAGGATAACATGACCAAGCAGCCAGGGGTCAGTGATTTATTTCTCTTTTTGATTTACTTGGTGATACAGACTCAAACCTTTTGGAATGATTGTTTTCATCCTGTTTTGCCCCAAAACTCTCTCACACCATTTGCAGCATCCAGTGGATGCTGTTATTCTTAAAGGGGTTTAAGCCATGAGCTTCTCCTGGCACCTGCCATCAATTACAGACAAAAAAAAAAAACTGCCTTCATGCAGAATTTGTCTCTATGTGCTGACTCATCTCTACTCAGAGTGCTTGGCCTGCAGATTAGTGTTAAGTGTGTTACACCTCATGGGAACTGCTTGTTGTGAGGAAGTCCTTGCCCTTGCTGGGACACAGCGTTGATGTCAGTAATTGTATCATTTTGCAGTGAGTGTGTTTATGATGGCCTGATGTCTTGATATACCAAATATATTACCAGGACAAATCCACTGAAACGTGGTGCCTTGCTGGATCTTCAGTATGTTCATATATATGAGCGTGTCTTGTGTTTGTGCAGAACCTGCGCTGGATGGCTCCTGAAGTGTTTACGCAGTGCACTCGCTACTCAGTGAAGGCTGACATGTTCAGCTACGCCCTCTGTCTGTGGGAGCTGCTCACTGGAGAAATTCCCTTCGCTCACTTGAAACCTGGTATTTTTTCTTCACGTCTATCAAATGTTTAGTTTTAATAGTGAAAAGCTCATTGTGGAAAAAGTGGGAGAAGCCCAGGCTCAACTCCATCTGGCTTCTTCTGTTTCAGGTTCCTGGTATTTGTGCATGTCGCCTAACCCTCACATTAAACTGACTTACCAAACCTGAAGGTACAGATTTATTGTTATTCTAAATAGTAACATCTGTCCTTATTATTAAAAGTCGAGTTGCTTTATTTTCTATTTGGTAAAAAAAAACGATTTTTCTTGGGTTGGGGGGGTGGCTACAAATGTTTTTCTTTTCATTATGGAGGGTTAATTAAATATGACGGTAAATCTTGAGCTTTTACCAACATGTATCTTGTTCACCTCTCCCATCTCCCTTTACTTTAAGAAACATGGGTACACATTTAAGAATATGAATAACATCAATTATGAACATGTGAATATAAATAAAGACGTATGTTACAAAGAGGCTGAATAACAGAAAAGAAAAGTAGGAATTCAAAACTAACCTTCAGCTGTGGTCATCAAAAACACAAACCCCTGCATGGAGAATCCAGCATATAAAACAAGTTGAGTAATGTTGTTCAGATATAGATAACTGATTGTAGAGTGAATTGACAAAAGTTAAGGAAGGCTTTTGTCAAAGGATTTTTTTTTTAGTTAAAGCCCATACATTCATGCTAACAGGTTATGTTGACAAAGCTAACATAAAAAGGTTTATCTGGTACAATGTTTCCACACTGTTTGGAGTGTTAGCATGATGCTAATAAGCGTTAAGTATGACGTTAAAAAGAGGGTGATGGGACTGTCTGGTTGTTGGGGTATTCAGTCATCATGCCATTGTCAGTATAATGACTTTGCTAACATGCTTAAGCGTTTAGCGGGCAGAATATTTACAGTTTGGTATTTTAGTTTAGCTAAGTAGAACAAAGGCAGATGTGAATGGCATTTCTTTGATGCAAAATAAGTTGTATTGCTTAATTAGTTGAACCAATTAAAACCTTATTGTTAAAGAAATTTAACACAAAACCAAAAATGTTAAACATCAGAGTGACTCTTAAAGCTCTGGTGTCGAGTTTTTAGCTGATTGTATAACAGACTGAAATAAATACTCTTATCGCAATGTGATACTATAACAAATGAGATCTTAATCAACACGATAGATTAGTTCCATGAAGTATTTTTTAATGAATGAAAACACTGCTGCAGGGTACATGATAGCTTTTGTGATTTACTGCATGATATTTAAAAACACTAACACAGATTTTGACCTATGTGTAAACACAAGACTTTTCAACAGCGAGTGCCTAAATAAACCAAAACCAATAGTTCTGCAAGTTCAGTTGTATAAATTCTTCTTTTATTGACTTTGTTTACATCTCGTGGCAATTGATTTCATAGTTGTTGAGAAAAGTCAGTCTGGACCAAACGCTGACATATATAGTATGTGTCCCCAGGGCTAGCTATGTTAAAAGAAATTAAAAACATACATACTCATAAAAACACTCATACTCAAAACAACATAACTCACAGAAGTGAAATGTTGTTAAAAAAAAACATTTGATTGATTTTAGATGTTCCTCTGTCCTCAGCGGCTGCAGCAGCAGACATGGCTTATCATCACGTCAGGCCTCCTATTGGTTACTCCATTCCCAAACCCATCTCTGCACTTCTGATGAGAGGCTGGTACGCCTGCCCAGAGGTAAAAGATCTCATGTCACCTCTTTCAGAATTTCATTTGAACTATGTTGATCAAGGGCAGTCTCTTAAACTCTAACTATAATTTAATTAATTTACAGTACTCAGTACATTACAGTACTCAGTGCAGTTTATGTCCACTAGGAGCCGTGTTGTCCTCTGTGTACCAGGGGAGACGGCTTCATAGTTTTAAACTGTGTTTGATCCCATCAATAAAGTGACATAAGCTGTTTAAACCCACTGACACTCAGAGAGACATTGATGCTGAGTCTGCTACTTCTGCAAACATGTGCAGCAGTAATGAACATGACCTGCGCGTCCCCAGGTGATACATTATTGCACTGCTGTTCAATTTAGGCGCAAACATGACCTGGATGATGGTCCCTGAGTACTGAGTCCGGGCATGTTGCCTCATGGCCTCATTAAGATACATTATTACACAGCAGAGCACACTGGCACATTTTTCCCTCCGTGGTAATTCTCCTTCCTGTTTCCCAGTTAAAGGTTGCCAGCCTGCTTCATCCTCCCTCAGTGATGAAGACACAGAGTGCAATCATATTATGCAGTCATAAAGTTTCATGGACCTTTATTTATAATGGCACCTAAACGGCACATTACACCAGCTCCTGTGGGGCTTAAAATTGGAGCTCTTTGTTTACAGGGTTTGAACTACAAATTGTATTTGATAAAGCCAATAAGAATGACAGTAGGGGCAGATTTTACAACACTCCTCTGAAAATGACCCCTTTTCTATTTTTCTTGTTCATTCTAGAAATCAGCACATGCATGATCATATACATTTTCTACAGTTCACATTGTCAGTACATGTTTTTTGTTTCACAAAGGGCAAACATACTATATAATTACTTATTATAATAGTAATAATAATAAAAACAGGAGGAAATGATTTACTTAGAAAAGAATCATTTTAATCTTTATTTTGCAATATTCTTGTGTTTTTGCACTCATGTTTGT